GGTCATTGCATTTGATTAGGACATGGCCTGGGGCCAAACCGTTTCCATTACCTTCAACGAAGCTGTCACCAGACTGCTTGTCTGACGCGTAAGTTCGTCGACAAAGCACTTAACTCTACAGAACCCATATTACGAGTCTTTTGCTAGATATGACGCATTTGTCTTGGCTCTTTATGCAGTTTCGCATTCTTGTGTCTACAGACTCACGGAACGGTCGGTCGTCTGAATCTCGCCTGATCCGCTTACTGGACGACAGCGACGAGTCGGTAACAGCTGCCACTAGATCTGAAGGTTGCTCCGGATGATGGAGAGTACTTAATGAGTTTCACTTTCGTTTCTCGACAGAAACCTGCTCCCATGATGTTTCAATCACTGAGGGTAGTTAGAAATCAGTCAGCAAACGACAACAGCGAGAGGAACACCGGGGTTTCTACCATGTGCTGATGTTCACACTGCATGGTCAGCTACTTAGGTATGTCAAAACTAATTACAGCCCTATCAGGTGCTCGTATCAGGCAGCATCGCCATACTTTTCGACCATTCTGGTATGATCACGCCAGAACAGAATGCTGCCAGTGTCATCCGCAAGGTCAATGACTTGCCACCTGCTTCTCAGCCGGTTACACCGACACCACATGGGGAGAATTTCTTGCTGAGGGAAATTAAAGTAATGTCAACCCCTTTTGGATTTTGACCGAACACTTTCGAAGTTCGAATGTGACATCCTTTTGTCACTGGGCCACGTCTCTCCAGAAAAGCACCATTGTGTGCGAAGGAAGCGGATGAACACACCGTGTCATCGCCAAAAGACGCGCTCATCAAGAGCCCACGGCCGCCGAACTTGTGCGTTCCGTATTCCTGAGCTGCATTGAGGCAGCAGCGAAAAATATTTATTGAAGATTTTATATATTTATTTTCCACTCGGCAGGTTTATTAAATTTAGGCTAGCAAAAAATTGGTTTAGGTAGCCAAAAAACGAGTGTAATTAACGTCTTTCTATCGATATTTGTTCGATGCAGTTTTCCGCCGCCGGTCAGAAGCGTAGAGGTTAGCAACAAATTAACAATTACGGTCATCTGTTATGCTGACAGCAGAAAAACGCCCTGTCAGAGAATGGTTTTAATGCTCGAAATGGTTCGAACTTTTTTCAGAAGGTTTCCACTTTGAAAGTTTCGTTATTTCAAATATGGGTCGTTTTGTCACGCCTTCTGATATGTTATGCAAACATGAGAAAAACTTAAAACGATGTTTGAAAAACCGACTGGCAGAAATCATGACAAACACCTTTGAACTAATCTTGCAATGCACAGCGACGAAAGAACTGCTACGAGATTGTTCCAACCGGAAGAACGGCCTTCAGAAGATAGATGCTGAAATCTGCGCGGTGAAGGTGAGGTGAGAGCAAACGGAGGGTGAGCAATAGAAC